CCACATCATGAACTTAATTTTACATTGATGTAATTGCATAGTTTTGTTGAGCTAGGTGCATGCTCTTCCCTTGACTGGATTTACACACCCCTGAGCTCAGAACCTGCTTTAGCTCCTGGTTTTCATCCAAGAGCCTTAAAGCACCTAACAAACTTTTTAATTTTCCATCATAATGCCAAAGAGTAAACATAGTCCCAGAAAGATTAAGGGCCCCTTTCTCAAAGTCTGTTGAAGTGTAAAAGTATTTTTCCATTAGATTTAGACTGGACCTTTAATGCCTTGTTCAGACAGACAGCAAATACCTGGAAGTTATCCTGGTTATAGCCTAGCTCTTAGACAATGCCTCAGGATCTAGACCTACAGAAAAGCTAAAGGCATGCTTTATGCAAGGTTATGTAGTACTAATAAAATCATAAGATGTCACCAAAACATATCACACAAAGAAAGGGTCATAAGTCACTAATTGCTTGTTCTTTGATCTAAACAATGGGCAAAGAGGAGAAGCTGAGCCAGGATTCCTGTGACTCTCTGCCAGAATAAAACAAGAAAAGAGGAAAAAAACCCCTGAATTACAGTTATTAATAAATCTCCAGTAAGTATCTTCTTCATCTCCCACCATATATATTAAGGATTAATAAAGGCACAGATAATGCTTGTATGTGAGATAACTGGGAGGTTAGAGGTGACAGGTGGAATCTGATGCTGTGAACATGCAACCTTGAAGCTAACAGCCTGTACCTGAGATAGTTGTGTATAGTTCTTACACCTGGTGTAGAGGATAGGCCTCTGCAGAGGTTTATTCTTCTCCTGTATACTAGGTCAAATGAACGTCTTGTCATTGACGGTAGACCATGAGATAAATTTAAATAGCTAAATTTGAGTTAGGTGACCAGTACTTTTTAGCTGGTTACCTTGGCTGGTTTAAAGTGTCTGGGAGTGAACTGATTCACTGAAGTGATAAGCACTGAGATGTCAAGTAAAAAGACTGTTTTCATTTGTCCCGGGATGAGTTGAGTACTACTGGGGTGAAATGAGTCTTGGTTCCCAGAATTATTCTGTTCAGCTCAGAATCAGTCCTCTGACTGTTTTGTCTCCCAGGCTTGTATAAAATCTTCCAAGAGACTTATTGTACGGTTGAAGTTTTCTTAAGTGAGATCATTATCCACCTGTATTCTATGCAATTATTATTTACATTCTTGAATTCCCTGGAGGTAAAATTAAAATAGAGCTGCTTTTTTTTTTTTTTTTTTTTTTTTTGTTTCTCCCTTCTCTTTAACAACCTTTTTCCCAGGAGACCACTTTAGATGTCCTCATGTTTCCAAGAGACTGCAGTTCAATAGGTTGAGAGTTAATTGCCATCTGGGAGTTTCCAGATGTTTATGTGCTACCCCAAAGAGCTGTCCACTAGAAAAAAAAAAAATGAACAGCTGGAAAGACACAATCCAAACAAAGCCTCTTTTAGCTGATTGACATATGTCTAGAAAACTTAGCATGCTTTGAGAGAAATGGAACTGAAATTAGGAACAGCTAGGAGCAAGTCCTTCATTATCAATAATTAGTCAATTAGATTGGTTTTTTTTGCCTCAAATTCAAATACAATTCACAAACACTGTATTCATCATTATCACCCATACAAGTAGAGGACAGAAATAATATATAGCCTTCACTTTGTCCTTAAGAGATGTGTTCAAAAAAAAGTTATACTGTTGAACATAGGTCGTTCCAGGGGGCTGAATGGTGCAAATTATTTGTAACGTGGTATGAAGCCTTTCACCCAGAAGTCAGATTGACATTGAGCCCAAACAGCTGATGGCAAGTGAGCTGTTAAGTTGAGCTACTTAAGAGTTTACTTTTTTTTTTTCTTTTTTTTTTTCCTTAGTGAAATGAGCAGTTTAGTACACAACCAAAAGTTTCAGTAGGGAGAATTGATTGTTCTGAAATTGTTCTCCATCTGGGAAATAAAAGGAAAAAAATAACCTTTTACACCAGTTTGGCTTTTTTTTCTGTAAAATCCAATACAGCTACTTTATATGACATTTGTTTCAAGACTCAGTTGTTTAGCGTGTTGTATCCTGTAGTATCAACCTGAGTTCAATAGTCTGTTCTTTAAACAACACTCTTCAGGAAGGAAGAACCCTTCGGAGGGGTCATATGGATGAACACTGAAAGCAGTAGCCTAAGAAACGTGACACCTGAAGGATGTGCTACATTTGTAATTCCATTAAGCATCACAATATAAAGGACAAATCAAGAATTTTAATGGGTGTTTGGGGTCAGAAGAGGGGGTGAGGAGGGCAAGAAATCTTAATTGGTTGTCATCCGAGTGCACAAAGAACTGAAATATGGAAATTATTGGAGGATGGAATACAGATATGTGTTGTTTTATCACAAGCCATACATTTTTTTTTTTTTTTTAATGGTGCTCTATCTGATGACTGATGCTGGGTTTGTGTCTTACAGAGCAATCTTGTGATATGTAAAGGGAAGACAAAAACCCCCACAAACTGGTCTTTTCAAGTTCAAATTTAAGACTTATTATGAACATTAATCTATAGTTTATTCTACCTGGCCATTGCTGGGGTGAAACTTCTGATTGTCTCTAAGTAATCAGGATTTACTTAATGAGGTACTATTTTTCCTACATAAATTAGATTTTGCTAAACAAGAGTGGAATAGAGTGTCATTCATATGCATGAAATTTTTATAGAGCAAGGGGAAAAAAAATACTTCCACAAAACATTTTTTTGTCCCTGAAAAACAAGTTTTTTCTTTGCCCATAGGAGAGACTAAATTTCTTCCTTCTTTTCCATTTCAAAGTCTTATCCTTAACATCTTCTTTGGGAAATCAGTGATGTTTGGATCCATTTTACTAAGTAAATTTCTGGGAGTTTTGTACTTCTACCACTTCCACAAACATGTTTGGAGAGGACCTAATGGAGGTTTCTCCCTTATGAGAACTTGCCCACACACACTCCTAAGTGGATCTTGGAAGAAAGATGCTCCTTCAGAGGAGTAGTCTTCTGTCAATGCAGTCTGAATTACAGTCATGATATGGTAGGAATTGCAGGATGTTGTTACCCTGAACTGTTGTCATGGCCATCACAATGAGGAAAAATATATGGCTATCATTATGGGAGCTTTACACTGTGTAGTTTATCTCTATAACAGTGTACTATGATGTGCCTAATTAGACTGCTCCATGTCTGCTACTAAAGGGAGACTTTCTTATTGTGTGTCCTCAGCCTGTGATTTAGCACTGGAATTAAATTTAAGCAGTTTTGCATTTGATTATCAAGCTATGGGTGACTTTTAGGGATCCTTTTCAACCCATTACTTCTACTAGCTGTAAACTTTCTGCCACATTTCTTCCTGTTTGGTAGATGCAGGCTAAGTGAAAACTCATCCATTTAAAGTTAGAGGGGAATGAATCCAACTAATCCCAATTAGAGTATGAAAACTTGTTATTGTTCAGCCTCCTTCCTCAGTTATTGACACATAACAAATATGATTGGCTTGAATAAACTGAAAAGAACAGGACCTTCACAAAGTAATGTAGGGTAAGAAATAGGGAAAATATATTTATTTTCCATGCCAAATTAGAACACTCATTCATCTTATAGCTTCATTGTGAGAGAAGTAGGGTGACTTCCAAAAGACAACCTTTATAAAAAAAATAATATATGTATGTTTGTAGAAAAAATTATCCCTAATCTCTTGTGAGTACTAATCTGTTAAAAACATGGTAAAGACGAAAATAAGTGTGTATTTCTTCAGTAATATTATCTAAGAAACAAACTTGGATAAAACAATTAACATAATATGGACAAAAAGATTACAGTGGTGATCAGAGATGAAAAAAATTCGTAGCCTACTCTTCACCTGTTGCATACTTTATTACACTCATAGGGAGAAAGTGCATGGGTCAAGATGAAGTTATGGGACACGGTTTTTCATTTGGCAGTCTCGCTACTTGTGCTGCTTTTGGAAGATACCCACAGTTCGATGGACATGCTGCCTAAACAATGGAAGATATGATACTTCCATTTCAAGGAGCTGGTGAGGTTGCAGACATTCTGTAGAAACTTCAGAGAAAATATCCTCTGCGTAACAAGCACTTGTTTTGTTGCAGAAAATGATGGGCTTACATTATATTGCAGTAAGAAGGAATAATCTGATCACATCAGACACACACAACTGGTGTAAGACATTACAACATTGATGAGTTTTACCAGTTTTACTGGAAAGCGAGCATGGAGGCAGAGATTTTGCTCTGCCCGCCATGACCAGGGCTTAAGCCTTTGAGGTTGCTAAGACAACTTTTATGAAAAATGAAAGTCATTGGATCATCTCTGAAGTTCTAATGATCTGTAAAATGACATGGATGCTTTGGATTGATTATTTGGGCTTTGCTGTGATTGTCTTTGTATGCATGGCTAGAAGCCAATGAGATCCTGCAGCAGCAAGTGCAGGGTGGTGGCTTTCTGGTGTGATGCAAACAGGGAGACTACTTGTGGATGCAAGTCAGGCTAAACAGTAGGCATAGTCCTCTGCAGTAGGAAGTCCCAAGTCATTGTATGCCCTTTACTTTGAAGGGTTCTTGTTACAACAGAAGGGCATGAGACCATCAGCATGATATGACAGTAAGGGGCTTGTTCCCAGTGCCGCTGCTAGAGCAGGAGTGGGATCTCATGCTCCACCTTGCCACCATGTGGGTTCTTTGAGTTCCCTAATCTTGTACAACCCTCTATTTGAAACTTAAGCATGTATTCAAGCAAAAATAAGCACTCATAGCCACGATGTTGCTCATTTTTCATCAGGGCTCAGAAGTGGTGAAAGCTTCATTTCTTGACTCTACTACTGACCTATCAAGGAGAGAATTTTTATGATTGATTTATTGGGAATGGGGTGATGATGAAAAAGAGGGGGTTTTTTATGTCTCAACATTAAACAGATCCCCTCTGAAGCACTGCTTTTACTGAGGTTTTGCCTTTTGCTTATAGGCTGTGCCTTCCTAACGTACTGCGAAAGGGAGTCTGCTCTAAAGGCCCAGAGTGCGCTGCATGAACAGAAGACACTGCCGGGGGTGAGTCCAGATTGATAACTTTTGGGGGGTTTTTTTAAATCTAAAATGGGTTACATATGGAGTTCTTGTCTTGGGTTTGAAATCATAAAGTCTCCAGTTGCCTAGATGATTCATTATTTCTATTGTGCTAATAAAATCAAGATACCACCAACCCACCCAAACTACACAAAACAAAAAACCTTTTTGCACTTATCTGGAGTCAGGAAAACAGTGATTAATTGGTTATGAGATGGATTCTACCAGCCTTACTTAGCTGAGGAAAGACTTTAGGATTCTGACCACTACATGAAATATTAGAAGTGCTCACCAGGTACTGCCTCTTACTATTTTTCTTTTCTGAAACAAGGTGTGGCAGCAAGAAATAAACAAAACAGATCACATTATTGAGTTATCACAGAATGAAAACATATTCCTGATGACAAAGTGGTTTGACTCAGTTACTTTAGTATTCAAGCAGCTGTAGCAGATTGGAAAGGCAGTGAGACAAGGAGAAAAGAGAGAGAGACGAACACAGGATAATGAGAAAAATTATTCACATGAGCAAGATCTAAGGTTCAGACAACACAAGCAGAACTAAAAATAGAATCAGCATTATGTGGGGAAGACCTGCCCTGCTGGGATGGATTTCCAGTTTAGCAGTAACCAGGAGGAGGGAAAGAGAGACTATTTAGATTCAGCCAGGGTACATGGCTTGGAAACAGCTGAGTGCAGTACTCCTGTGGCTAGAATAGGGATGGTTTCACAACAACACATAAGTCAGTGATCAAGTAATTAAAAGTGGGGTCCTGGGGGTTCAAGGTTGTGTCTAAACTGAGAGGAAATTGATCCAAAAGTCTGTTTTTATTAGTCAGTGTTGAATGACTGAGTCCTGCATACCCCTAACCTACCTTTCCACAAAACCTAAGACACATCAGTTGCTCTATGTTGCTGAAGAAGCTGTTGATTCTGCTCTGCTTGTTTCCATCATCCTGAGTCTATTTACCTATCTCTATGCCACCTTGCCAGTATGGAGATGCCCACACACTCACTCATCTACATCTATCTTTGCTTTAAAGGCCATACCTTATGTAAATATATACATACTTCATTCCCTAAAAATACATTTCTGTCAGCTGACAACTCCCTCTGAATTATTTTTTTCTAGAAACATATCAGCCACAGATTGAAAGTAACTTGAGTCTTGTTGAGGTTTAGGTTTGGCGTTTTATTTTTTCCTTTTTATTTTCCCTCCAACAGATGATGTTTTCTTTTTACTTCTTTCACCTCTGAATGATAGAACTGGATGTACAAAAATATAAAGATGTTTTGGTAATATTTTACCTGAAAATTTCTGAAATATGCTTGAAATCAATTATGTATTTATTAAAAGTAGAGATATGCTTGTGATGTATAGAGTGTTGTATATTTAAATGATACTAACTGGAATTCCAATTGTTTCCACTGGGATTAGAATCTCATCCTGAAGTTGTATGATGGGAATATCTTCAAGAAGACAGTAGGTCAGTGAGACTGAGGTCTCAGAATTGGTAAGAGAGGGCAAATGATGATTTAGGATTTTTTTTTTTTTTTTTTTTAATTCTTTATATGCCCACAGTTCTGAATCTCAGTCTGCATTTTAGAGATTTGAAATCACTAAACTCTTAACATCAAAAATGTTGTCTTGGGTAGGCAAAATTCAACTACCTTTTGCATTATATTCAAGACTTCATTCAGAGGTTCTGATGATGGATTCTAGACTACAGGCAAGACATTCTTTCCTTGGTTTATGTAATTTCTAATCACATATAACCCATACTGACCATGCTGACTTTAGAAAGCTTTTGTTTGGTTTTACACTTTGAGGTGACACATCAGGATCTGATTGAATTGGGAATGGTGAATCCTCTGTCTAAAACAGCAACCAGGTTTTTGAGAGTTCTGAGCACTGACTTCTCTCATCCATTTCATTTCCAGTTCTGTTTCAGGATAAAGGTTTACTTTCTACCAGCAAATCCTCTGCACACAGCTTTCTGCCAAGTTTCTGAACTCATCTTCTGAATGATGTCACTGTAGTTTATTTAAGGAAACCAGCCTTGTCTCTTGATAAACTATCATGCCTGGGTACTGTTTTATGGTTCCTATGTGAGTAGCAGAGAATTATTTATGACTTACTTGACTGTTCTTGATAACATGCACCAACAATATCAAACATAGTTCATCACCATAAAATAAAAAGCACTTGTAAGGTCAGGGGTCTAAGTCCTTATTCACATGAGTTCACAAATGACACATATATAACACCTTCCCTTGACCCTCTACTGTCTGTGACACAAACAGAACTACTGAGGAGGTATCAAAAATAATTAACAAGCCTGTTATAGAGGAAAAAAAAAATAGTACTACAGTGAGATTTTGAATCAAGACACTTCTTTCCCATCCCCCAGTAAAGTGCATTTGCCTGCTCTTGCAATATTGCTGTTTGTGTTCTTTGTATTATAAAACACAGAACTGAGTCATTTTTAATAATATGCACATGAATGCTAATGTATGGAAATGGTAAGGCATGAGGAGTTTGTGTCCAGATTCAGACGTCTTGCCTCTTAGCTATGTATCACTTTGTTTTTAGTAGAGTGGCTACATGCACATATTTTACAGTAATTACTTTCTGGATGTGCTTTGTAAGATGACAGAAATATGTTTCACATATTTCTATGTTATATGTGGGACATAAAGTCATCTTGTGGAATAATCAAAAGACTTCCAAGCAGGTATGTGTTGATTAATAAAGTCTTTACAGCACTTTGGTTTTGGGTGGGAAGGAATCAAGATAGATATTTTGAAGCAACTGGAATGGAATGTAAAACATAAAATTATTAGTTGAATCTTCTTCACCTAAATGAATTAGGCTGTTTTGGGCAGTGTGAAATTGTCTTGCCTAAACCAGAAGATTATCGTAGCAGGGTGTGTGTGTAAAACGCACTTTGCGAGTAATGGTCAATTCAAATTCTAGTGTTTACTTGTGATTGTTTATTTTACATATAATAGAGTAGCTGGATGATGAAGTATATTAGTTCTTTAATAATTTATAGAAATGCTTTGATGTTGCAGTAATTACATTAAAGGTCACATATCAAAGGTAATTTGGTTGAGCAGCTGTGATGGTTTCTCAGAAGCAATCAATATTGCTGTCCGTGGTGCTGATTTCACCAAGGGGACTGCCAGATTAAAGGAGGCTTATTACCAGCCAGACAGACACGGGGGAAATCAAGAACAGATTGGAGAGACGCACTCTTCTCTTTCCCCATCTATAATTAACACTGTTCACCATAATCTGTGCTAATCCTTCATAGTGGGAAACCACCTTTTTTTTTTTTTTTTTTTTTTTTTTTTTTTTTTTTTTCCCCCCCTCCAACATTATAAAAAGCAAATTAGGCAAGGAAGAGTAATTTGGGGGAGCAGCAGAGAGAAAGCAGAGAAACTAAAAGTTGATTTATCCTTGGGATTTCTGATGCTGATGTATCTCCCAATGATAAAATGCAATATCAGAAACACAGCCCATGGTCTTGGGGAAAATGTGGGGAGGGGGGGCAATGTGATCTAGACTATGACAGTGCAGGGGATGTGAGAATTATCTGCCTGCAGATTTGGTATAATATTATCTATTTGCCCCACAAAGCTCCACAGGAAATGAAATCAGGGAAATAAAATTATGTTTTAAGTGTAGTCATTTTGATTACAAATTATAGTGAAGCCAACTTTTCTCCCTTTTCTTTTTTCTTTCTGAAGCAAACGGCAGAGGATAATGCTGAGAAATGTAATTACGCTATCAAGATCTACTTTTATTTATAGCACAAATAAACTGAGCTACTGTATGATAAGCACAGCAGCATTTTTCTCCTCTAGTTCTTTGTGGTGCTCCCAAGCAACGGGAGTGAATACTTGGTTGGAGGCACTGCCCCTTTGCATAATGTTAAAATCTGCCTGTAAGACTTGCAAAGAATAGTTATGAAATTAGGTAGATGTTAGAAACTGTTAACCTCAGCAATTCACAGGGCTTATTCAGGCTAGGAAATAGACTGGGTTCTCTTACTGTATCTGTTCCTTTTGAAAGGGAGAGTGGTACTGACAGTATGCTAACTTTCTCGGTCCATAACTTAATTAGTTTTCTTCCTAACTGTTCTGATATACTTTGTCTCTTCGGCCATCTAGAAAAAATGCATTCTACTTTATTAATCATATGCAAAAATGTTCATCTGTAGAATTAGAAGACAGGTGAGCTCATAAATCTCCTATTAAACCCAGTTTTAAATAAATAATAATAATATTAAAAAAACAAACAAACAAACAAACAAAAACACAAACAAAAAACACCCCTCTAATGAAACAAAAGTTGCCCTTGATTTAAAAAAAAAAAAAAAAATCCATTTTCTTGGACTTACCTGTCTCAAATTCATATGTATATGTGTGGAAAGACACCTGAGCATGCTATGGGGAGGGGAGAGGATGTCTTGCAAAATCTAGTCCTTCTTGAATCCTTGTAATAAGGCTTAAATGAGACGTAAGTGTCATGTGGACTTCAGAAGTCCTTCACATATAGCATCGATTTCACTATTCAAGCAGATCTTGCTGTAATTTTACAGTCTTTTTATATATATATATTTCAAAGCTATCTTCAAAAGCTTGTTAGAAAACCATTAAACCACATATCACCCTGCACACTGTGTAATGCCAAAAATGGTATTATATTCCCACACTTTCCCATTTCAAAAGTTTTCTCTACCAATGTAAATTGCAATTTGGTCAGCAGTGGCAGGCTGGATGGGTTCCATTGATTAAAGTAGCCTGCTGAACACACAGCCTGCTCACCATGCCCTTTAGATTTTGAAAGAAAACACATTTAATTGTTCCCTTGGGAGAAACATGTCTGTTTTCTGAAGTTAAAAATGAAGATGAAAAGGAATAAAAACAGATTTGAGGTAAGAGACTTGGAAAAAAAAAAAAAAAAAAAAAAAAAAAAAAAA